CAATTCCTACAGCCATCTGGCTGTCTGGATTCTCAGCTGGCTGCAAGGAGGTGTGACAGGGATGCCTTATGCACAAGGCAGCTTGAAGGGAGTCACCCTATAACAGGCCCTGCATGTGTTCCCTAGATATTCCCCAAATGGTATCTCTCAGCCCCTCTTCCTGCGCCCCTCCCCAACCGCCCCCGTGTTGGCTGAAGAGGGCATTCCTACAGCCATCTGGCTGTCTGGATTCTCAGCTGGCTGCAAGGAGGTGTGACAGGGATGCCTTATGCACAAGGCAGCTTGAAGGGAGTCACCCTATAACAGGCCCTGCATGTGTTCCCTAGATATTCCCCAAATGGTATCTCTCAGCCCCTCTTCCTGCGCCCCTCCCCAACCGCCCCCGTGTTGGCTGAAGAGGGCTGGAGACACCTTTGGTTCCCAAAGAAGGGGCCTCAGAGATTACTGAGCACTGGCTGGCAGGTGGTAGAAGAAAAAGTGAAATAATGAGCAAAACCCCTATCCCTCTGCCATATTTTTTTCTCAGACAATGTTTAAAAAATGCCATTTAACCAAAGTACATTAAAGCAGGCAGAGTTGGCTTTAGGCACATGTGACGTCTACAGCGAAGAGTGCAGCTGCCACCTACCCCCAAATTTCCAGGACACTCGCAGAATTTGAGTTCCCTATGGGATAACTAAAGCGGTGAGATACTTCCAAGAGTCCCGTGCACACTCACAGCTGATGCAGCCCCCACTTCCTGGGGAGAATGCTGTGTCCCTACCCTCATGGCATCATGATCCTGTAGTGAGGGAAAGCCCCCCAGCAGTTCATGGACTAGCATGTCAATCCCTGAGGGCAACTGCACCAATTATGGGGAGTGACTGTGACCAGAAGGCATTTCTCATTTCATTATACCATACCGTACATCTCTATTTAGTATATCTGCTGGCTTATTTATCGGAGTTACTCACACATGGCCTTTTCAGGAGGGATCTTCTCCAACTATTACAAGGCAAAGCCCTGTTTAACCTATGGGATTTGCAGAAGTAAAAGCACCTGAAAGAGGATGGGTGCAGGCCATGCACTGAGATTAAAAATACATAGGGCCTAATTCAGCCATAGTGTAAGTGTGCACCCCTCCAATGAAATCAGTTGCTTTGCATGAGATCTGAATTTGCTCCATCTTTTTTTATAGAGGATGCAGGGTCACAGTAGTCAGTCCATTGAAGTCGAGTTGATCCAGAGCTGGGCATAGGGACAAGGAGAGCAATCTGTACAAGAATGGGAACACTAAAGACCTTTGACAGTGAAGTCAGACCTCCCTGGAGAGGGATCTGAGAATGTGTACACCTTTACAGTGTATTATTACTGTCATAAACTCAAAACAATCTACTCTCATGGCTTTACAGAATGAAACAATCCACAAAAGCAAAAAGCATCTTCTGTAAATGACAAAGTGTGAAGTCATGGTTTAGGGACTATGTGACAGCCACCAGGCCTTAAGCAGATAACAGGGAGAAGGAATGAAATACTTGTTCTCTTTAGATTAGACTATTTACACAAGAAAGACATTATTCTGCTGCTCTAGTAGGTGCTGTTGGGGCCCCAGCCGAGGGAGTGACTCCAGGGTAGGGCATCATGGCGTAAGTAATACACATACACCAGACAAACTGGAGTGAGGTCAGAGGTAGGCAGCAAAAATTAGATGAGGTTTGGAGTCAGAAAGAAAACTTAAAAGCAGTGGAGACATGAGAATTATGGGGAGACAAAGGTAACTGTCTAATTAGTCTTCAGGGGGCACTAAAATTAAAACATAAGGAAACCATTTTAAAGTACGGCTTTTGCTCTGATAAGGCACAGTGAAACTTACTATATGCCTACACTTCAAGCCAATGGGAGCAAGTCGCAACCTATATAGACATTCCCACAACAGCTCTAATTGAGCTACTGTATTGAGACTAGAAGTAGCCGTAGTGGAGCAAACAACAAGCTACCACTAGTATGATCCCATCCAAAATGCAGGAAACATACTCTGGGTGGCTAGTCCTGCCCACCACCGCAGTTACACTTCTATGTTTAGCATCTTAGCTCAATCAGAGCTAGTGCAGGTATGTCTACTTAAGCTGCTAATCACACCTTCCAGCTCAAAATGCAAGCATACCCTTAGTATTCCCATTGTGGTGATTCCACATCAACTGTACTGAGTTTACAAGTACAAAAATGTTCTTTTTAAAGGAAGCACCACAAAAGCCTGCTGAGAGCTAAGAAAGAGCACTTTCGGAAAAAGGCATTCTTCCTCGTAAAACAAGATTTTCCGCAGTCAAAAAAACTGCCGCATTCTTTCAATTTACTTTCGAAAGAATGCAGCAGCAGTCCAGACTCAGGGGGAGGTTTTTGCAGCAGCAGTCCAGACTCAGGGGAAGGTTTTTTTTTTTCAAAACAAGGCCACTTTTTTTCGAAAAAAACCTGTAGTCTAGACACACCTTCAGATACCAGGCTGACTGTGCTAGGTTGGCAGCAGGTGAAAAGGCATTTACTAGTAAAATGCATGTTTCATCTGAGAAATGATAAACATGGAGCCCCATCATGTCATGTATATGGAGATGATTTTTAAAGCAAGACTACATTTTAAATCATAGTAGGGAAAATGCAACTTTAATGTTATAGTTCGGTCCAGGACATTTAGAAAGGTAATTTGTCACCCTTGAAAGATTCAAACTGAGCTGATGGTTTAAAGATCATGAAATCAATTCTAGAACAATGTGGAGGGAGGGTATCACAGCCATCAAAAACCCCATTCTGCCCTTATAAGCCTGTGGATCCTTGCTAGGAAAGGAAGTTGTTGAAAATTGGTGGCTTGGAGCCAGCAAATTGGTGACAGGAGACCGATGTGTTTGAGGGATGAACAGTCACGTGGAGTATGTGGTATTCATACCACCCCCAACCTTAGAACATGATTGGTGTAGAGAGAAGCTGCCCACACAGGTCAAAGTGGCTGGGGATGATGGGGAGAGAGTGTAGGCAGGGAACAATGGATCCGCTACTGTGGGTACTCATTTCTTCCCAAAAGATAGGAATCAGCAAAGGAGGAAGATGAGACAATCTCTTTTTGAGTCTTCCTTTTGTAGTGCCCCCTCTCCACCTGGTTACCTTCTTTAAAGCCAATCTCCTTACAGGTTTTGATGGATAGGTCTGGGTTCTTCTGGATCCCGCCACCCACTCAACTTTATTTTTTCTGATGGATTTATTTGGCGGTGCCTCCACCCCCCTCACTCCTTCCTGGCAGGGTCACCAGGGCAGCTTGGGAGGAAAATTCTAGCCCAGGGTAATCCCCACGTATTTGCCAGATAGTTGGAGACTCCCAGAAAATGGCACAAACACAAATATATTAAACAGGAGACAAATAGAACAGAACAGGGTAAAACACTATTTTTAGGGTCACCGGTGCCCAGCAACTGTAAGATCAGTGTCCCATTGGTACGAGTACTTTGTTGGGGCCCTTGATGACTGTTGACCACAAAATCCTTCTCTGCAGTGGTTTAGCAGTGGGGCTGACTAGGTCCAGTACAGCCCAAAGGACTCACACATGGGAGAAGGCAGTAAATCCCTCCACAGGCTTAATATGCTTCAGGTAATAAAATCCCCAGATTCCCTGCCTAACTAAAAATTGGTGCACTCACACACTCCATGAATGAGCCTCAGGTTGAGAGATGACTCAGTCACTGCAGAAGGGCTGCTCTCTTCTCGCAGGGATCCTCTTCAGCCAGGAATAAGGCTGCTTTGGTCCCAGAATTTCCCCTCACCGTGAAGGGGTGCCGGGCTCAAGGTGCAGGCCACACAACGGCACCAAAATTCAAACTATAACCTCCCAGCCCAGCATTCAGACACACACAGCAGGCAGCAGCCCTGAACTCGCAGCTAGAGCCAAGCTGACCATGCAGTGACTGGTCTCACCCAGGGAGCTGAAGAGCCAACTCAGCCTGGCTGGGGAAGCCTCCCAGCAAACTCCACAACTGGGAATCAACAGGGGAGACATAAACCCAGCTGAGGGATCCTGCCTTCAGGTCCCTAGAGGCTAGTTCTCAGGGGGAACCTGCATGCAGGCCTGGGGCTTACTAGCTCCCACACAGC